GGGCCTGGCTTACTTCACTTAATATAATTTTTTCCAAGTTTTTCCATTTCCTAACAAATGGGGCAATGTCATTCTTTCTGATGGCGGCATAGAATTCCATTGTTCAAACACACACATTCTATGGAGGGAGCTTTTGAAGGAAGGTAGTGTGAGCTTGCTGCAGCCATGGATGCATTATGCCCAGTTTTGACCAAGTGCAAAGAAGGATCAATAAATAAAATCAAAAGAAATCTCACAAACAACCATTTTAAATGCGCACCTGCCCATTGCACAGCTCAGCTGGTGAAGAAAAGCACTCAGTCCTGTGTTTAAACCCTGGGATCTGTCTGCTGTTTCCCTGTCCTAAACTTACAAGAATCTGCCATCCATGAAGCAATCGGTGCCCCAGAAGTAAAGTAAATATTAATGCACGGCATTGGCGCGATAGAGTGAAAATTTTAGATTGGTTGAAACATGGTATGTCTTTAGCAGAAGTTGGGTGGTACTATGGGAGGAATGAATGGCACATTCAGAGTCCAGCACTGAATTAGGTCCTGAGTACTCCTGTTTTGTCCCTAATCGTGACTCCTAGAAACCATCTGCTCATAGTTATTGAGGTTTGATTGTACTTGCAAACTCTAATAAGATGGGGAGAGTCACCTTATTTCTTGGGGAACCAAGAAATAAGTAAATAAAAGTGGTAAGTTGCAGTGAAAGTGGAGTATACATTACACAATTTGGAATTGTGTACTAAAGCGAAACATCAATTCTGTTCTCTTCAGAGGGCTAATTAGCAATGTTAATCAGCAAGCGGAGATGTGGAGGAGAAAATTACTTTCACACCACTTCATACCTCTCTAGAGAAAGGAATCTGTGAGAGAAGAAGGTGTGTAAACACAGTAAAGAAAGACAGCAGTAAAAGATGAAATACTGCGAAGTGGGGTTGTTGGTGGGGTAGCCTTCAAAGAGAACGTATGAAGGCAAGCTAGATAAAAGGCAGAATGCTCACTGTCACAAGCCTTGAAATAAACACCAGGAATTGGGTACTGGAAAGGGGTGGGAGGGACAAAGGGGAAATGGGTAGATAAATGAAGAGGAGAAGATGGGAAGAGTGCAGTCCAGAATTCAATGTATATCCTACAAAATTAAGAAAAGTGAGGGAAGGGGTGGGTAGGTTAAGAATGGGTAAGAATGTTGAAAAGGGTAATGTTGATCAAGATGCACTGTATTCACAAACTGCTTTGTTAAATGGCAAGTCTTAAACAACTACTTAAAGGCAATACACTAAATTAATTAGTTAAAAAACTAGAACAGCATACAGAGCTCTGCTATTATTGAATGAATAAATGGATGCTTATCCTGTGTTTATATTTGGAACAATTTGACATACTTGAAAGTAAATATAGTAAGAGCAGGCATGCAGCACCTGAGTTATGGATGTGGTTTAGAATTGCTTCCTGAATTGAAAGAGTAATTCAAAATAGAGATTTGATCATTCTTACCTTCCAGATTTAAAAAGCAGGCAGATGTGTCTTAGGAATGTCAATCATCACTAATGACATGATGACAACCCAAATTATGATCCTTGATGCAGTGTAGAACAGTCATAAAAGACCTTCAGAAATAAGATCAAATAGATTTTTAGTGTTTAAATGTAGATGTAGATCAGTGATTTTTTTTATTTGTCAGAGAAGGACAGATTAATCAGTCCCAAGCCATAATAACAGAGAATAAGTATGTAAAGTATGTGAGCCATGCTTCACATATAACACTCAACAACAGCAGCTGGTGTTTTTTATCATCATTATATTCAATATCATAAAATTACCAGATTCAGTTTTTGTCTAGGCTCTTGAGGTGTCACAGTGACCAATAAAGGGGACAAGGTCTTTAAGCTTAAAAGTTTCTTTGTAGAGTGGGGCACCCAGGGCTCACACCTGCAATCCTGGCCACTAAGGAGGCTGAGATATGCAGATCGCAGTTTGAAGCCAGTCCAGGCAGGAAATTTTGTGGGACTCTTATCTCCACTACACTACAAAGAAAAAAGAAAAGAAACATGGAAGTGGAGCTGTGGCTGAAGTAGTAGTGCACTAGCTTTGATCAAAAAGCAACTCAGGGACAGCATCCAGACCCAGAGTTTAAGCTCCAGGATGCGTGTGCACACACACACACACACACACACACACACACACACACACGAGTTACTTTTTATTAATATGACATTTGCTTAATATGAAGTTACACAATTTATAAATATATGTTAGCTCTTCACAATAAAGGATTCAAGTTCTGAAACTGCAAAGAAGCTGTTTCAACCGCATAGAAGATGTGATATGAAAAATATCAAGGATTTCCATTTCAAACATGTTGTATATTATTTCCTTTTTATTTCTCACAACAACTCTGAATGTAAGGCATGTATATTCTCCCTTTGTAGATCATAATCATAGCCTGGTGCCAGTACTAAGGCCTGTAATTCTAGCAAGAGGCTGAAATAACAAAAAAGACCATGATTCATAGCCAGCTCAGACAAAAAAACTGAGAGATCTCATTTCCAAATAAACAAAAATAGCAAAAAGCAGGACTGGATATATGACTGAAGTGGTAGAACACCAGCAAACCAAGCAAGTGTGATAACCTGAGTTCAAACATTGGTACCAACAGAGAGAGAGAGAGAGAGAGTCATTTATTATTATAAAACTTACTAGTGGTAGACTTAAGACAAGAAATCCAAGTCTATTATCACTGTATAAATTGTCTTTGCCAGCCTCGTCATTAGCCTCGCAGGTGTGTGATCTGAATTTCCCTTCTGATTGGAGTCCATGGCTATATCACTACTCCTGGATACAGGGACATGGACAACTTCAGTTAGAAGTCACATGACAGCTTTTCCCTTGGGTTCTCTAAAGATCCCGAACATAGCCATGCTGTGTTAAATCACTCAGGAGATGAACAAGTGATTGTTCAGATCCTTCCACATGACTGAATATTACTTACTAGTAGATAGAGAAATCACTTGATTTCAGGAGGAAACTAATCTAGACAAGATTCTGTCCTAACTCTGTACTCTAGATACATGGAGCAAATGATTCAGTTGTGTTGTTGTATGCCTTAATTGGCTTAGATCCTGCTTTTATCTCTCTGCCTAAAAGCTGTTGAAAACGTTTATTTTAAAATAAATGTGGATGTTTCTCAATGAAAGCACTAAAAAGACATTCAAAGAAATATCAGACTGCCTTAAGAGCAATGGGCCTGTGATATTCAAATGGGTAGCTGAGCCAAAAGACACGGAAAGTATTCCTGCAACTAAGAATCTGAGAAGACATAAAAAAATTCTGGGCCCCACTTTCACTGTCTACAGCCAAACACCTGCCTGCTTTACTGGGCATAAGCAAAGGCATCTGGTCAACTGTACTACATACACAAGGTAGACTCTCCTCACTCATAAAGGACTTGATGTCCATTTTAATTTATGTTTCAAAGCTCTGTCTAATGGCTGATTGTGAAAGGTCGAGCAAATTCTTTATGCAAATTTGCATTTGATGATTGCAGCCATGCAGGGAAACTCTAGATCTTGATAAATTTGTAGTTAGAAAGTATGGTCTAGTCAGGAGCAGAGTCTTTGAAAGCTACTATGTCTGAGGTAAGGGCTCATGTAACAATAATAATTGGCCCATCACATGGTTTGAAGTATCTATTGTTTAGCTTTTCAAGTGAGAGAAAATGTCAATAGAAAAGTAAAATCACATTGCATTTATACCTCAAAAGATCACTGGCAACATATATTCTCAACTGAAAAGCTGGACCTAAGTTTTGACATATGGTAGTAGTTAAATTATTCAGGATAAAATAATTAATAGAAATGTTTATCATAGAACTCTTTCTCAATCCTAGATGATACCTAATATGGTTGTAGAAAATTTATGATGATTATTA